CTCGGCGAGGCGCGCTCCATCCATCCATCCATCCATCCATTCAACCAACCATCCAACCAACCATCACCTCCTCCGACTCCAACCCTCGCTCCTCTTTTCTCTGCTCCGGCTCCTGCCGCTGTAGTAGATAGAGACTCCGCAGTCACGTGGTTCACGGAGAGAGAGAGAGAGAGAGAGAGAGAGAGAGAGAGAAGCGGACTCTCCATATCTTCTTCCTCCTCCTCCTGCTGCTGCTCCTCCTCCACCTCCGCAGTTCGCAGTGTGTTGTGTCTCAGACTCAGAGGCAGAGTCAGAGCTCCAGCCGCCGGTGTCTCCTCTCGTCCTCTCCCCGCTCCCCTCCTCACTTCCCCGGCTTCTCTGTCTCGGCGGAGCTGCGGACAAGTCTGCTCCTGTCTTTTCTCCCCACCTCCTTCGCCTCCTTTCTTCTCCTCCTCTCTTTTTCTTCTCCACCAACAGTTTTCGGATTTTTCCTTCCTCCCACTGTTGCTGCTGCTACTGCTTCCTCCACGCACCCGCGATCAATTTTGAGGGATTTTTTTACACCTCAGTGGAGAAAAAAACAAAACAAAAAAGAAACAAAAAAAGAGAAAAATCAGGGACGAGGATCCGCGGAGGCACCTGGTCGGAGCAGGAGCAGGAGATGATGATGGAGGTGCTGATATTGTTCTTTCATTCCCTGTGGATACTGCGATGCAACACCGTGAGCGCGGACTCCATCATTCACATCGGTAAGAGCTGGACCCTGGACCCAGAGTGGTACTGATGCTGCTGGTACTGATGCTGCTGGTACTGATGCTGCTGGTACTGATGCTGCATTTAGAACTGTTACTGATGTTGTAAGACCTGGTACTGATGCTGTTAGACTTGGTACTGATGTTGTTGGACCTGGTACTGATATTTTTCGACCAGGCGCTGATGTTGGACATATTTGATTTGTGTCTTGGTTCTGTTGGTGGTCAGGAGTTTTCACCTGTGTCTCCTCTGACCTCACACCTCATTATCATTCTGATCCATGAGAGGAGGAA